GCAGGCTGTGCTGCAGACACTTCACCGCAGAACTGCTCCAATGTGATCGGCATGCAGACTGAACAAGTAAGTAGCATTTGTCTGCAAAATGGAAAGCAATATTTCTATTGGACTAAAAGAGATGTGTGTAATAGGGCCACAACACATCACTGGAAGTATTTTGTTGCCTCGTTCTGAATTACAGAATATGGCGCTGCGCATACCCGGAAATGTCATCTATTTTGTGACGTACATTGGACGTTTTACATGTTACTGTGTACATTTTACTTGTATTGTGGTTTGAAACGCACTCATCGATGCTGACCCCAAAATCTAAAAATGGCGCTGCAGTTCCCCTATGAAACGATAAACCACAGAAATCCATTAAACTCTAACAAGCCTCCCTAATGTAGCACAAGAGACTGATTACAGGAGCCTGCAAGAGACAGAGAACCAGCTACAGTCTGTGAGGAACCACATATTGTGAAAAGCGTTAAGTACTGGGACGGTGAACTGAAATTTCTATTTCAGATCAAAAGGTTAATATACTTTTGCCTTATATTCTTTTAGCTCTCTGGGTTTCTGGGTTTTATTTTGCATACAATTAAGTCATGTCAGAACAACATTATTTGTAGTGTTCAATTCCCCCAATTCAGGTGAGAATAAGTACCGAGCCAAACGGAACAACGGGTTTTTCATCCGCCCATCCATTTTCAAACCATTTCTTCCAATTCCGAGTCATGAAAAGCCAGAGCCTATCCCGGTCAAGCAACAGGTACAAGGCAGGGTACAGCAAGTAGCTGTGAAAAAAATACCGGTCTGGAACCAAATCCAACAATCTGGAAGGTCTTGAAAGAGAAATCACGGGAGGAGTGATCAATCGACAAACTCCGGGTCATTCAGGGAAGGCGACAGCATTCAATGACAGGAACGTTATCAGGGCTGTGAAGAAAAACCCGAAAAAGAACAGAGGAAGAAGAAGCAGGGGTCTTACTCTCTCCTATGTCATCCTGCAACTCCAGGGGTTCCTGTTTCTCCTCCTTCTCCTTGACCGACCCGCTGGGTGGCGCAGATGGCCTCTTCGGCTTGGGCTTGGGCTTGACCACCTTGATGGGCTCCTGGACAACACCGTTCGGACACAGACGACACACGGACACCGAGTCAGGGGCTGCGACCTCGTGGTCGGCCACATTCTCGGCGTGCGCACCACCGCTCCGCGGTTTGGAGGACAGTCCAGCCACCGCGGAGACATTTAAAAAGCGCCGGGCGGTCGGCAGGTTTCTGCTTAATCGAAAGCAAACTTCAAAAGCCCGGCGAGGGCAATCACTGGGATCAAAAAACACAAAGGCAGGGCACAGCGTCTTCTGCAAACCCCTCAGGAGCCAAAAAGAATAGCACAGCAGTGTCAAAAGGAAACCTGTTTATTAAGAGTGCAAAGAGGAGGCACTTTTAGACACAAAGCCTAAGAGCTGGAGAAAGCTACCCTGCCAAGTTGCTTGAGACGATTCCTCTTTGAGACCCTCCAAACAGACACCCTTCAACAAAAGAGTAACAGAGATTATCTTACTCCCCAGGAATACCGTGTCTTGGCTGCCTGCAGACGCCCCATGAAACCATCCCCCCGACAGGCCCAGAGTTTCTCAGAGCCGCCCCCTGACCTTGTAGGCCTTGGTGACCACACGCCGTTTCCTGCGCGGCTCGTCCTCCTCCTGGTCGCTGTCGGGCTCGTCCCCCTCGTCGATGTCGAAGTCGCTGTCCACCTCGTCCTCCGTCTCCGACTGGTCGCCCTTGTACTCGTCGTCGCCCGACTCCTGCCAGCGGAGAGGAATGAACCCGATGGGAGGGGGCGGCGCCCTTAGAAGAGCAGTCCCCTCCGTTTTCTCCGGGATTCATCAAAAACACTCCAGTGCCTCCATTCATAGCGGCCGACATTAAAAAGCTCTAGTCCTAGAACATCTTAATTACAAATTGGCACGAAGGAGTCAGAGATTTTTGCTAATAGGGCTGTGTGGAACACAGCACTGGATCTTTATACCACTGGATATACACTTTATACAATGCATCTGCAATTTAATAACTGTTGTTGGGATTTCAAAGAGACCTAGGAGCCCTAACTGAAACACCAGCTTCTCTAGGACTAGGATTGCAGACCCTTGGCGTCGGCCATTTTTACATGCTGATGTATACCATGCTGAGTTTTGTTTTTTGGTTATCACAGAGGTGCCCCCAGCTGTCCCCGACACACCTGTGGGGCTCCCACACATGAGCAGTGCAACACAATAATAATCAACTTTAACTTATATAGCACCTTTAAAAGGTGGCTTTCAAAAAAAAGCTCTTTGCAGAACGACAACAACAACAATAAAAAAAATGCCAGTTTTATCACAGCCCTGTTTACAGTAAAACAAGAAATTCAATTCAGGTGGCAGTGTCCGCATGCGTAGGCTGCAAAGGAACAGGTAAAGATGTATTCCATGCTGAAAGTAAAAGAAGAGAGACTACGTTTCGGCTATGGAGCCTTCTTCAGGTGCGTTTAGTTTATAACTGAAGAAACTCCACAGCCGAAACGTTGTCGCTTTTCTTTTCCTTTCAGCACGGAATAAACCTTTACCTGCCGCGAAAATCAGCTTTTCCTGTGCTGCCCTACATCAGTGGTTCTCGCTTCTGGTCCTGCAGCGAGCCAGCGTCTCTCCTTGTGCTCGA